AGAGGTTCAGGTCAGGGTTGTGCCCACGCACATCTCTTTTGATACTCAACAGGCTCACTGCCTCTCCTAATTTCTGTTTTATTTCCTAAGATGTTTAAATTAAAAACCCCTTCAGTGCTACCTTCTGCAGTCATCTGTTTCGGAATAAGACTCCACCTGAACCTTGTACCTAAGTTCTTGACCAAGTTACTTTTCTTTATTCTTTCAGTCTCCCTAATTTGGCTTCTGGGAAAAATGAGAGTCTGTGTTAAGAATGGCAGCCATTTTACGAATGGACAAGGTGGCCCCATGGCAGCCATTTTATGTAAGTGCACATGATGCCCACTCACAATTCCAAATGTGCCCCCTGACCCAAATCAGGGGGCACATTTGGAATCCCATGCAACATAGCTCAGATCTAGAAGCAAGGGTATTTAGCAACAAAGGCTCTCAAAGAATAATATTTGATCACTTTTGAATGGATGAGTTATACCACCATGGTTCTAGTGACATGTTCTTTGCCCTTTTTGAGGGGATTTGAATCAAAGCCTGGAATAATTAAAAAAATCCAACTCTTAACATTCTGTTATTTTGTCAAAAGATATTAGCTATTTTACAATGACTACGTTCAGCAGGACTCACTCTTGGAAGAAGGAAATTATTATTCAAGGAAGAGTAATACAACCGTGCAACATATGTTAGCAATTCAAATTTCTGACAGTACATGTACAATAAAGCATTGTCTATAGAATACTCATACCCCAGAGCGATGAAGACTAGAGGACATCCTAGCAGAAAATAACGTTTTCCGACCAATCTTTTTGGAAGCAATCGTTGTCACGGTCATATTTCCTTAGTGTGAACTATTTCTTGCAAAACACAAGGTGCATTTATTTTCCATATAAGATAATAGCAAACAATAATTTTAAAATGGGAAATATATGGCTCTTCAGCTGTAATATAAAACTTCAGAAAGCAGTTCTCTCAGAAGAAATCAGGTAGAGGAAGCATGTCTTGTTTTGCACCATCTGAAAGCTGAAGAAACATCACATGGAATTCCATCAGGAAGAAACATCACATGGAATTCCACCGTTTCTTTAAGTAAAATGGGATGCTTAGCTTCTTTTTGGCCAAACATTTTTTCTTACAAAATCCTTCCTATTCTTCCTATTCTTCTTGTTATTTATATAGATTTACATAAAACATCTATATCTAAAAGTACAAGTCATTCACAAGAAGATTCAAAGCACATTGAAATATGTTACAGTACACATTACAATACAATTAAAATGTGGAAGTGCTAAAACAGTTACATAAAGCATCTGTGAAAACAGTAGAACCAACATGACACCATCATTAACAAATAAACTGGGCAGCTTATTCACTTAGTATCCCTTAAGGGTACCAAGTCGCTCAAGCTGCCTTTCTCCTGCTGCAGGAAAAAGAAAGAGGATCTCGGGAACTCCTCAGGCTCTGGGAAAAATGAGCACCTTGTGTTTTGCAAGAAATAGTTCAAACTAAGGAAATATGACCGTGACAGAGATTGCTTCCAAAAAGATTGGTCAGAAAACATTATTTTCTGCTAGGATATCCTCTAGTCAGTTCATTCAGTTTCTAAGGGGAAACTCAAGTGAGTTTGGATTAAAACAACAAATGACTTCCTCTATCATTAGCTAAAAAATTACGTGTTTGCCCCTTAATAAGGGTGAAGCCACCTTGGTGCTTGCAGTCTTCTTTTGAATTTTCCCATTATCTACAGGAAAATTTCTGAACCCCCAGCTCCTGCTGATTAATGAAGTAATAACTCCCTCTCCATATGTAGTTATTTCTATCAGAAATAACTCAGGCCTCATTTTACCCTTGCTTTCGTCTTTTTCAGGTGTAATGCTGACAATACTTGTCATCATAGTCATCCTGGAGGGCTTCTTCTCTGGTGACTGAGAAGAGCGATGGAGGAGCCCCTTTTGTTCTCTTGTCCATGATGGTGGTTTCAGGTTGCTATGAAGGACCAGCACACAGATGACCCAAAATTCCTGTGCAGCTCTTTCTCACTGGAAATCTTCAACCAGGGGCTGGAGAGCCACCGGTGGGGATGTTTTAGCTCTGGATTTCCTACATCAGGCAAAGCACTGGACTCAGTGACCTACCAGCCCCCTCCCCAACTTGCTGTTCCCATGGAAGAACTAGTAGTACACAAAGTAGTATCCTGGACCTCCTTTCAGTAAAGGCAATGGTTCTTGCAATAGATGGCGCCTGCACTGGGTTTGGGTTGCTCACCCTGACTGCACAGTTGGCCCCATTCAACAGAGTCCCCTGACCTTCTGCATATTATTTTCAGGAGTCTTCAGGGGCCTGCCCTGGAGAGGAGGGAATGAAAAAGTCTGCTTCTGCGTTCATCTAAATTTGGACTGAATCCATGGGTTTCTCAGTGTGACTACATACCATAAACATGGCCAGCTCACTATTGTTCATACACACAATGGAAAAATCATGTTGATATGCATTCACTGCACATGTATTTAAATGTAGATTTCCCATTTATTCTCAGACAAAAAGCATTTCCAGATAGGATTTATATACATGAAGCAGCCCTGGCTTTATAGCAGAGCAGCATTTGCTGACTGGAGAAGAATATAAAAGCATGCAGACATTCTGCAAAAGGAAGACCTAGTTAAAGAAAATGAACATTCACCCTTCTTGAAAAGGCACTGGAGGGATCAGGAAGAAAAGCTTACCTGGTAAACGTGGCATTCTGGGACACTTCACCGAAGCTTCAGGGGATGCGGCTGCTCCTTCCACCAGTGTGAGGCCAGATGTGCCCAGCTGGGAAACGTGCATCTTCCTCCACGTGCGGGGCAGGGCCAACCCTGTCAGTCACATGGAGAGGATCAGCTCAAGCCCAAGGCCATTCCTATCGAGTGATCTGGCCGGGCGCCAACACCTGCTGTGCCCTGCCGGTGGGTCCATGTGATGCCCCCAGGCCCTGCCAGGCCCAGTGCAATAGCGGAGGCAGAACGGGGCTTTTGGCAGCAATCCACCTCAGCAGCACCTGTACTGGTTTTATGTAAGCTGCTGGTTGGCCTTAGAGAATGTGCAAGAGGAATTTCCTGAGTCTGGAATCTGAGCTGGGAACCAGCAAATGCAAAAGGAGACCATTAATGGGCAGGCATATAGCTGCCCCATGGCAGTCCGTACAGACAGTCTCATTCTGGTTGGAGTCTAATGGCATCAATGGGATGAGTGGGGAGTTAAACAGAGAATGCTTCTGGAAACGTGCTTGGCTTGTAATGGCCCCTTCCATAATTAGATGGACAGAGCTCTGCCTGGAGCGCTATGATATTGGAAAGGTGGGGTATAAATTTAATAAATAGCAGCACAGTGACTGCCTGTGTTAGCTGCTCTCAGATTCTCTGGGGCAAAAGTCTAGACAGTAGAGGCTGAGCACTGGACAGGACCAAGCTGTCTTCTGAGCCAGCAATGTCCATCCTTCCATTTATGGAGACAAAATGGCACAAAACTTGCTCAAAATTCTGGTGTTTGCTTGGCGGGCATCCATTCTAGTTTGTTTGGTCAGTTCAGAGTTAACACAGTTGGGGAGAGGCAAGCGTGATTTCCCCTGAACCGCTCTGAAGACACATGAAATACAAATGTGAGAGTTACATAACCAAGCAGGAACAAAGATCTGTCTGGGAAAAAATGCTGTATGCACTCAGTGTTCAACGAGATCTAAGCATCCAGTTCCAGTCATTTTCTGTGATCTTATGTTGAAAAGATCCAAGGATTATATAAAGATGTGTTATAATCTAAAGGGTCACTGAGTGGAGATGAATTAGTTTCGGGTATCCTTTTATGTGGCAGAGAACCAGCTCAACTTTCATGACAGCTTGTTTCACTGCAGGGCATCCCAAAGGAAGCTTATTTTTCTATTCTAGTTGTATTTTTTATCATTATAAATTCGCTGGGCTACAGAGCTCTGCTTCTTCACTGTATGTGTGCCCTAAACGTGAATATACATATCTGAGTAATGTGAGAACCTGTCTTACATGTATAGAGATTAGATTCATGGCAGCCTGTGTGGGGTAGCGATTAAGTGCACAACTGGCACTCACAAGATCTGGGTCTAGCCCCCATTCAGCCATTGAGCAAATTGGGTGACTTTGGGCTGCCAGTCACAGACTCTCAGCCCAACCTACCTATCAGGGGTGTTGTTGCGCAGATAAGACTGAGAGGAGGAAGAAAACTATGTTAGCTGCCTTGAGTTCCTTGAAAAGTAAAAGATCAGGATATAAATATAATAAATAAATAGGTTACGCATAAAGCTAACACTCTTTACAATGCCTTTTTGTTTTCTCCACCCTGAAAAAATGGTGTCCTTAGCAAATTTGGCCAAGCCACTGCTCTTTCCTAAATCCAGATAATTAATAAACGAGTTGTAAAGCATTGGTCCCAACACATATCCCTGTGCTTACATTGCCCCATAACTTGGAATCTGTGCCACATTTGGATCCAGTTCCAGTTATTTTCTGTGATCTTATCTTAAATAGCTTATATAAAGGTGTGTTATAACCAAAGGAATCACTGAGACAAATGAATTCCTGATATCCTCTAATGTGGCAGGGAAATTACTTTCATGACAGCCATCTCATTGCAGGGCATTCCATAAGTAGCTAATTGTTCCATTCTAATTGCATCTTTTCATTACAAAACCATTAGGTTATACAACTCTCCTTCACAGCATGTGTATGTGCACACATGAGGCTGCATATCTGGGTAACGTGATCACCCCTCTGCCATGTATACATGTTAGGTAATGCCAGTTTTATAATTCCCCCCCCCTCCCAACATGGCCACCCCTGAAACCTTTTCATCTCACCAGTGGAGGAATGCCTCCCCTTCCAACCCATTGTGACCATGTAGCCTTTATAAGGACACAGAGAGTCCCGCCTAGCAGACACCTCCTGGAAGAGAAGGTGTGCTCTGAGGGAAAGCTCTTCTCAGCTGAGACCAAGTGTGCAACCACCATGCCCCAAGAGTCCAAGCAGACCGACTTCCAACTAGTACGCGTCAAGAATACTTGGTGCCGGATCAAGGAAGGTGAAGCCATTCCTGATTCTGAGAATGAGGTCACCATTTCACCGGCTAAAATGTAAGTAGAAGAGGTTGTGCAATTTTTCCAGTATAAAAGGGAGCAATGGAGAGACCATTTGTGTTAAATAATGCTTTCTGGGATGGGGAAGGTGTTATTGGCTTTGTGTTTATACCACCCAACAGGCAAAGCGCTCTGGGTAGTTAACGTTGCCCAGAAAGCTTTGCAATAAAATGCAATATAAAATACAAATACATTAAAAGCAGCATAAAATGCCAAGATAAAATATAAAGCAGGATTTAAAACATTTAAAACAGAATAATGCTAGGATTATTTGGCCTTATATGCTGTGTTGCTCATTTTTGTTTTTAATGTGCAATTATACTTTAAAATAAAGTTAAAAATACAAGAAAAGAATGGAAGAACAAACATCAGTTACTAAATTTACAGTTGGAATCATGAATATGCTTCTGGGACAACTAGAGCGCCTGGGGAGAAGTCTGCCTCTATTGAGAGATTGCGCATATAAATTGCAATGCTGAATCATAGCCAGAAAACAAGCACAGGCATCTTTGGTTGGCTGGCATGTGATTGGATGCTTGTGGGGTTCCACTTAAGAGAAAAAGCATAACTGTAGTATCTTTGAAACCATTAAGATTTCTCCCTGCTTGTTGCACTCACTGAATCATGCCATTCTTGGCAGACAATTCACCAAGTTAGCTCCATGGCTGAGCAGGGACTAGAATTCAGATTTCCTGAGTCCCAGTCCCACATGCTAAACCGCCGTGCCACACTAGCTACTTAATGTAGATTTGTTGGAATCAATGGGATTTAACTTAGTCACAATGAACTTGTTCCATTGCTTTCAATAAGTCTACTTTGAGCATACTTCAGTCCGGTTCCAAATCATGGCTTCCATATCTCTCGTACTAAATGAGTGTTGCTGTTAAGTTTTAAATGTAGACACGCAGACTAAGTACATGCTAAGCAGGCCTCTCTCACACCTGGGTATTAGATTGCATTTTAAATTTTCCTGGTAAGCCAATCTGGAAATGTTGAAATACTGAAGGTGCAGGATAAAAGCCGCCCCGAGGCTTCGGCGAATGGGGCGGCATAAAAATGTTTTAATAAATAAATAAATAAATAAATAAATAAATAAATAAATAAAATAAAAGCATAGACAATAAGTCTGCAGTCCTGGGCTAAGTTAGGCTGCTTTAACCTTTCTTGACTTCTGCTTTTGTTTAGTCAATCCTATAAGTTTCATGGCTTATCAGGTATCTTTCTTTCCATCTTCCTTTCGCTGAAGGAGTTGGATTTATTTCCCCCTTTTGGAAGAGGCTGCAAAAATGTCCAGCACAGTTTACATGACTTCATTTGGTCCACAATATTTTGTGCATTTGTCTTAGTGCTATACCACAGGACTGAAGAAAGATCAGAAATGCACAAAACTATCATTATTAGTGGTGTGTATCTATTAGCATGTTTACACTATTTTTGTTTCCTCATACAGCTAAAATTGTGTAGAATTCCAGAAAGCGAACAAATAGTTGTCTGCCATTTGCAGAATCTGTGTGGCTTCAGAATACACAGGTCAAATTCACTGAAATATGAAGTCATTCGAATCCATTCTGGATTTCTCTCAGTCTTGCTAGGAAATAAGTGTTCAGTCCTATTGTAATAATCATAGACCCTCAAACTTGGAGTCTTGCACTCATCTTACGCAGGGTAGGAAAAGTGGCAGAAACAACCTTTCTCTCTTCACCCTCCCATGCTGTGTTTCCACTAGACTTTTTTTTCCATCTAGCAATAGCAGGTGGGGAGGGGGTGTCTCCAGTGTCCTACCCTTCCTGCCCAGCAGAATGTCCATTTCCCCCCTCCAAGGTCAGTTTTGCTTGTTTTCCCCTTGGAGAGCAGCCAGCACGGTTCTGACCTTGGAGAACAACTGGCTCCAGCTGCAAAGGAACAGGGGAAGCATTCCCTGATCCAAGATTCAGGCACTGTTTCCAGCCTTGGATCTGGGAGGTGAAGTATCTGCTTGCCCTCAGAGGAACTGACTTCTGGGCTAACATGCTTAGGATTGAACTGCAAGTTGAAAACCTGCAAAAGTTCGTATTGAGCACAAAAAGATGGGATGCAGCAATGCAACCTAAAAGATGCTATTCTAAGTTGTATATTTATCTGTTGTGTATTTTTTCTAATATTTGGAATAACTTTGAACTAAAGTGGTAGTTGATTTGGGCTGTGGGATATTGCTGGGGAGAGGACTCATAGAGAAAGACTTTTCTTTGTGACAGACATTTCCACCACAGCCAGAGGTAATGAACTACAGAAATGGGCAAAAACAAATACAGTGATACAGAAAACCCACCAGCATGATCAAAAAGCATAATGCATTTGCCATAAACTTCAGGAGAAAGTTGCATCATTCTTGCAGCGACATCAAAGAGTTGCGGGTGTCACAGATGGGAGGATGTCTGACAAGTTTTTCCCTAAGGACATACATTGCTTTCCTTGAAGGATGAAAGTCATCCCTCCGATTAATTGACAGTTGAGGATATGGTTACCTCCTTCTTCTCTTCAACATATAATGCATTTATGGCTATTAAATATTAACCGTAATGTCTTCTCTTACATAGTCCCCAATATTTGCAGTATAGCGAGATCAGAAACACATTCTTTCTAGAACAAACAGGAGTTTTGATGTGGCCTTCAATGGCAGCACTTTACACAAGTAGAGTAAATGATAAGCTGTCAAGCTCCAGAAGCCAATTGATTCCGATATCCCGGCCAACAGCAGTCTGTGTGAGTCAAAGACATCACCTATTGCTCCATGATGTTTATGGCAAGAAACACTTTTTGTTTTATTTTTCACATGATAAGCATACCCATCCCCCAAGGAACTGGGGTGAGAGGTATGAAGACCACACACACACTGTAATATTCTGTGCCATAGGTCTGAATTAAGAGAGGGTGACGGGTGGCAGCTCCCAGTGATCTCCATGGCTGGTGGGATTTGGATGGGTGGCTCCACATTTAACCACCACATTCAGGCCTGTGACCTTTTCGTCACATGTTCCAATCCAGCCTTCTACGAGCTAGCCCCACTGAGATATGTTAAACGACAAATCCCAAAATCCCCAGCCATGATGCTTGGGCATGGTAGTACAATGCATTTTAAGGTGCCATTTGGGGAAAACTTTTCCAACCCAACATGACCGTATGTATCTGCAGGCCAGTTTTGAAGTGTAGGTGAGCCAGCAAATAATTTTCTATTTTCTTTTCTTGTTAGTCAAGGAAAGGTGTTGCAAACATCTCACTGCTCCTTAATACCAACTACTTAAAAATCAGTATCTTCAGACCATAGGAAGCCATTGCATCACAGACGTAACACCCCATGGAATTCGATTCCTTTTGTTGTTATGAACATCAGTTGCTGAACAGCAGCCAAAATTCCTAGATTAAGCGGTTCACAAAGAGGTACACAGCCCTTATTCCCGGGAGGGCTGTTGACCAGCTTCAGTTGATGCTTATGATAGCAAAACAAACTTGGCATATACAAGAATGGAAATTATGCAGCATTAAGTATGGTGGGCCTGTAGAGTAGTGATCTTAACTAGGGATAAGAATTTGAGGCTGGCAATGCAACATTTTTGTGAATGCTTTGCAAATGTGCTCAAAATGTTACAGTAGCCTAACACTGCAAATGCACTTTATGCTTTGTGGATTTAATCTTTATTATTTAATTGTTTTTGCATTTTATGTTATGTGAAGCAACCACTCACAAATACAGTTACTGAAAACAACAAAATAGAGCTCAGAAAAAGACAGAGGACTTACTTCAAAGCACAGTAAATGTCAAACAGCCCTTGGAGAGGTCATAGCCCCCGTTCTGGCCTCAGAAATGCACTCTGAGGTGAAGGGGGGGCTCTGACCTCAGGCTGCCCTCCCTCTGCCACAGAGCTGGAGGTTTGTGGGCAATCTGGATGGCTGAGAGGGAGGAAAGAGACTCTTCCATAATACGCAGTACCTTGGTGGCATGCCCTTGCATTGCAGGGCAAAAGGCTGATGAGGCCAAAACCAGCCATCTAATTGGCCAGGGTGACTTATTTTATACTGTTAACTTGTTTTATATTGTTAATTTATAGTATTTTAATTGATTTATTTGTAAGCCGCCCCGAGGCTTCGGTGAATGGGGCGGCATAGAAATTTTCTAAATAAATAAAATAAATAAATAAATAAAAATAATTCTTCTCCCTCTGAAGGATGGGAGAAGCATGGAGGTGGCTTTCACTTCATGCCCCTTCGTTCCTTGATGGGATGCCCATAATCCTTGGAGTTTGGGTGCTTATAAGCAGTCACATTGGACTGCACTACAAGGGGGAGTGTAGTTTCTTATAAAACAGAACCCACTATTCAGGCATCCACCTCCATGAGTTCACAGAATGCATGTAGGAACCAGCAGTCTCTGGCCTTTGCTTGTTGAGCAGAAAGTGTGAAGGAGAAATCTTTCAGCTGAGGACGCGTGGAATCCCCTGCATGACCAGTAGTCCATCACACCTGCAGTTCTCAAATGTATGCAGGATTCTGGGAGTGTTTGGTGAGGCGTATGAATATTCCCCTTTCCCGTTCAATGTGTGGCAATCAAGGGGCATTCAGCCCCCCAGCCATTCCCTCCTCTGCACTTTCTTGGTGACTGCGTAAACAGAATTAAAAACCTTGCAGCAAATCAAAGTCCAGCTTCATTTATGATAAACTTTCTTGATATAGTCCATTTATTTATTTAATTTATTAAAAGCTTTTCTATCCCATCCCCTACAAATGTCTCGGGACAGCATATATTTAGTCTTAAATTCATTTAGACATAACTTCTATATTGGTTCCAAAATGGCTAAATCCAACAACAATACACCTCAGAGATCTTTTATCTTTAGTGGCAGCACCATTATTATTTTTTGCTTTTCCATTATTAACACCATCAGAGGTAGTAACATCTGAGCTTTTTCCAAGATGCCTCTGGTCACCATTTTCTTTCCTCCTATTTGGTCCTGGAGTTTTACTTTCATTCTGAGGGAGTTTCAGGAGGGGAGTAGAATTGACGGGAACCTTTTTTCTTCAGATAACCCTTCAGAATAATCCTACACAATGATATAACCTAATTCCAGGAGTACTCTGAGGAAAATGAGAGTGCAGTTGGACACTTCTGTCACCCAAGTATTTCTGATGCCCCCACAGGAGAGGGAGGAAAAACGTAAAATGAACAAATACAGCAATAAAAGGAAACTGCTTTTGCCACAATCACCAAAGACAAATGATGGTCCAGACTTTCAGGCAATTTTTTGGGACCTTCCCCCAATTACACCCCTCACAATTTTCATCACCTACAAATGCGAGTGAAAACTGGGGATGAGGGACTTCTGCTTAGCCTGAGCCATAAGTGAAACCTGCCCTTTATCACTTTTCTCTCGCTTTAACCCTAACAGAATTGAAACGATCTCAGATGGCGACGTGTCCTGGACAATTCAAGCACCCATCTATTTCTGCTATAAAGTGGTGGAAACATGCAGTCTCCTAGATCCCTCCAATAAGACCCTGCTGTATGGGCATATCAAAGATCAAGAGGAACTGGACAGGGCTATGAACAAGGAAGGAGCACAGAAGCGTTTCATTGTAATGGATTCGGTTGTCCACGAGTTTTACGGCTCAGGGGTCAGAAAGTATTTCGAAGCCAATGACATCCAGTATAAAATTCTTTCTCTGCCAACCACTGAAGAAACCAAATCCATGGAAATGGTGTTAGAGATCTTGCAGGAAGTGCAAAACTTTGGCCTGGACAGGCGCACTGAGCCGATTATAGCCATGGGTGGAGGGGCATGCCTAGATATCGTGGGACTGGCCGCATCGCTGTATAGAAGACGCACGCCGTACATCCGAGTGCCAACCACCCTCCTGTCCTATGTGGATGCCAGCGTTGGTGCAAAGAATGGTGTCAATTTCCTGCAGTGCAAGAACAAACTTGGGAGCTACGTTCCGCCTATAGCCACCTTTCTTGACAGAACCTTCATCAAAACAGTCCCCCGCCAGCATATCTCCAATGGATTTGGGGAAATTCTAAAGGTATCCTAGGCTTGATATTTATGATTCCACCTCTTTTACCACAGATCTGCCTCCCATATGTTCACTCGTACCCTTCCTGCTTTCTCCGTGTGTTACAATCTCATTTCCACTGATACTCTTATCTCCTTACAATAGTTTTTGCTATCCTTTCTCCACAACTTTGCCATGAAACCTTCACACCCTGTTCTGCTGTGTGGAGAATGTACAGGAATTTCATTTTGATTCACAAATCAAAAGCATTTTGAATTTCATTTTGATTCACAAATCATGGTGTTTGAAAGCCCAAACACAAATGAAAGGAAAAATGTTTTGTTCATCCCACCTTGTTCACAAATTTCCAAATTTGCAACTAGGTTGGAAAATATATTTAGGAAAACAGTGCACACACTTGGAATATATACTTTAGTCAATTGGAAAGAGTGTGTACCGTTGAAATATATGTCAGGAATCTGCACTATTCCCATTTGAAATGCACACTTTTGTCATTTGAACAACCTAAAAGTACATGGAAAATTAAAACAAAAGTGAGCAAAAACAAGTATCAAAGAGAATTAGGGAGAATGTTAATGAGCTAAAAAATACTACTTTCCCCATCCCTATTTATTAATGTGTGCACAAAGAAATATGAAGCTTCCTTGTATGGAATAAGAGTACAGATTTATTCAACTCAATATTCTCCAACTATAAATAGCTATCCAAGGATTAAGGCATATTTCCTACAGTTTCTACCTGGGATTTTTACTTTGAGATACCATGCATCAAACTCAAAAATTTTAGGCATGCAAAACCACTCCTTTTCTGCTTTTGGCCACCACTGACCCCTTTTAAGAGACTGCAGGTGACGCAGTGGTTGAAACCGCTGTGCTGCTGGGCTGGTTGATCCTTTTATCCCTCTCCAACAGTTTCTGAAAGCCCCTTCTCTTTCCAAAACCTGCTTCCCAGTTTTCCTCCAGCCAATAAGCTTCTGAGGGCAGGCAGATTGCTTTTTCCAGGAGTCCAATCAGATTGTTTCTAGAGGCGGGGGCCCTGTGACATTAGAATGGGAGCCCCCCCTTTGTTGCAGGTGGGCTATCCCTGTTTTGAAGCAAACCTCTTCTCTGCATTACATTATGACTTTCACACTGTCCTTTATCATGGCTTCTTTCCCTGCTCTATTCAAGATGGCACTGATGAAACACAAAGGCCTGTTTCATTTGCTGAAAAACCATGGGAAATTCTTGCTGGATACCAAGTTCCAGTCTCACAATGGCTTAGCTGATCACGGGGATGCTGCACTGAAGACCACCAGGATTGCCATAGAAACAATGCTGGAAGAGCTTGCCCCAAACCTCTGGGAAGATGACCTGAACAGACTGGTTGACTTCGGTCACCTCATAAGCCCAGAACTGGAAATGGTGAGTGGAAATGGTCGTGTATTAAACTGGACGCTTCCCTCCTGTCTAATGGATGACCGGGGAGCGGAGGGCAATAATACCACCACAACTGCATCAGAACAGGGCACCTGCCTGGACAAATGGGATGGTAGACCTGTGCACATATCAGTACATTTTAGTCCTTGATGGATGTACCTACAAGCGAGCAGTACTTTTGCTTTCAAATAACTCAAAGCACACCCAACATTGAATAGCGACTGCCAGCCACACATTTCAGCTAGTCTCTTCACAGGAGAACCACACATACACTGAACGCACACAGGGGTGAGGAGAGGCATTGCTGCAACCTGACTGCTTGTGAGGCCTTCCTCTTCTGCTGGAGATGCACTGCTTGCAAACCCGTACAGCAGGCTGCTGTCTCCTTTCACAGATTCCAGGGGCTTTCCAATGGAAGGGCTGTCCAGTCCAAATCTGCTTTAAAGATGAAGATCTATAAGAAATGCTCCTACCCATACTTAGGCAACAGGCAGGCACACCTGTCACCTGGTCCTGGTCTTCCAAACCACAGTGAGATGCATTGGATTGTCCTTTATATTATAAACATAGCTCTAAATTTGGATCAATACATAGAAATTTGTTCATCAAATGCTAGGCAAATGGCTGTGCTCATTTGTCCTCTGTTTTGGTGATACAGTTCTGCTTGTTAGGAAATTCAGACATGGCCACTGTAGTATAAAGACGCATAGGATTTGTACATATATGAGACAATACTGACAGTCTAGTCAACAACAAATGGATTGGGCAAAAGGAAGCCAGGCAGGCACGCTCCCTTGAATGTGTCGTTGCCATGTGAAGACTGATCCATGTACTAAGTTGGAATGTCATCAGTTTGACAGGGCACCGGATTAGGCACCACACCCTCTTCTTTGTTAGATAATAACTGAAGGCAGGCACGGAGAGCACGCAATCTGTTAGACTGAGCACGCAATCTGTTAGACTGATTGTTTTAATCTGGGCTGATCATCTGGACTGGCCCAAGGACAGCCAGGGAGTTTCCTGGCTGAGTGGGGATTGGAACCCAGAGCCTCCGTCCAGCACACTGGCCATAAGACAGACCCTTGACCCAAACTCAGGTGAAGATTACTGACAGGACTGGAGCTGAAATGGGCCAGAGAGAAACTGGAAATGGACATTAGCATGCTCAGAGTTTACAGAATTTGGGGGCTGTGCTTTTGGTAAACAGCTGAATGGAATGTTGGGGAGAATTTTTTTGGGGGGGTGGGACAGAAAACCTCAGTGGTTCACGGGGGAAAGGATTTCCCTGATAAGAGGAAAAGGTTGGCTAGAATCCTGACCATTGCTAGTTAGGAAAGAAAATACACTACAACATTCTGTTGCAGCTCTGAATTATCATTTTTGTAATTGTTCTCTTTCCACTACAAGCATTAGAACTGAAAGAAAAGACCTGGCTTTTTAATACAATCATGTGTATTGTTTTATATTTTCCCACTTCTCCAAGTACTGAAAATTCAGGGAGGGCTTAACTGAGTTTTGTTTCTCTTCAGAGGCCACTAGCTGGAAGTCACTTAGAACATTTTAATATGTCCAATATGAGTTTGATTTACAAAAGTACAGACTGAATAGAGATAGAGGCCCAGCTGAGATACTCCAGCAGACAGCCAAAGTCGATGGCTCCAATAACAGTTCTCTAGAGAAAGGCAAACAACATCCTACAAACACATTCAGCATGTAGAACCTACACACGGTTCTCCACCTATCATCCCCTGTCTCTGACACAAAACAGCAGTCTCTGATTTGCGCTCTCTCCCCTCTGGCTGGAGTGGGAGGAACACGGCCAGTCAGCTTCATGATCTTCTCTGACACTTCTTGGGCCATTACCTGAATTCTCCTAAGAGGATCTTTCTGGCAACTTTGTCTCAGGCCATGGAAGAACATTTACAGTCATTCTGGCTGCATGAATCCTTTCCTGGCCAAATCACTAATCCAACAAAATATTTATATATCATATTCTATGTATTATATTATATTATATTATATTATATGTAGGTGCATTCTTCATTTCAGAGAGTTCTGCCATCACTGATGCATGGAGAAGCTGTGAACATTGATATGGCTTTCATGACGTACCTCTCCTACGTGAACGGGTTCTTAACCGAGAAGGAGAAGAGCCAGATTATCTGGTGCATGACTGCTCTGGAGCTCCCGGTATGGCATAAAGAATGCACATGGCATCTCATCGAAAAGGCCTTGATGGAAAGAATGAAGCACAGTGCTGGACAGATGAGAATGCCTCTTCCCATTGGACTCGGAAAAGCAGGTACATCCATTTTGCACCTCTCTGTTTTGAGGCAAGTGGAAAACAAGGGCGTTGATCCTATATCAATCTAGTGTTCAGGCTTCGCTAAGCACGGCCAGTCCTACCACATGGCAACGTCAGATCAGTACCTCAGATACCTGATTTGTGCAGACATGAAAAGGCAGTGAGCTGTTAGCTATTTCATGCATTAATACTGAGTCTCTAACTGTATATTTTGTGCCATACACAGCCACTTGAGACAAGATGCCACCCCCACCATCACACAGATATAAAGAGACACTTATTTGACTTCCAGGCATCTGGGGAAAAGGTCTAAAATATGCAGAACACTAACAATGAATTTTTAAAGACAGCATATTTAAAATAGACCTTAGGAGCAGGTTCCAGAAGACGAGGAGACTTGAACTCTGCATAATACAGACCATAATCATGAGGATACAAGGCATCAGCCTGTCTGCCTTCACTGCCCCCCGCCAACCAGCACACACAATTTTAATTTCCCCAATGCCCCTGACATGCTGGGGGCCAAATCTTAACTCCCTGTAACGCCCTGGGAAGAAATTAAAAGGATGGCTCTCAAGCGGCCAGCCCTGACTCAGGGGGCTGCTGCTGCCCTGCACTGCTGCCCCCCAGGGCCCACTGTGGCTGGAGGGGGATGCCCAGAGGGCACCTGGCCAAGCCCCGCACAACCTGGAGCCAGCCCGGGTTGGGAAGGCTCTTCTTCAAGTGTGCTGCACCCCTTGCTCAGCCAAGGAAAAGTGAGTGCAGTCGTCCCATATGACAGACTCTCCTGATTCTGCGCCACCGCACACACTCACACACCTCCCTCTGGGACGCCTGTTCGTACTGAGCGATCACCCCCTCCAGAGCAGACAGAACGCCTCTTCATCTTTTTCTCAGCCGCACTAACCAACACGGGAAGGGTGAGGGGAGAGGTGTGCAACTGAGAGAGGGAGGAGGCGGGAGGGCAGAGAAACCGCGCAAAATTTCAGCAGCTGGAGACCTACAAAGGGACGCCAGACACTTCACACGCACGCCTGCCCCGCAATTTATCGTTTCCTGTGCATAGTCTAAATTGGACTTCCTTTGAATTTTGATCTCTTAATCAGGTCTGACAAAGCATTTTCCCTTGGATATTATACAACCACTAGAGTTATTATGCAACCCCCGTGATGTAATTAAACAGACAACGTCAAGTAATTGCATTAAGCCTGGTTAATTCCCGTTTCAAAGCTAAGTGGATCTCAGAAGTGTTTAAGAGGCATATGTAATTCCCATTACAGAAGCAGGCCTAGCTTGCAAGGCTGGGTCCCCTTGCTAGGAGTTGATGGCTGGGGACGCAGCCTCACGTGGGCAGGAGGCCGGTCCCCGGGAGTGCGCCGCTCCGTCAGATCCGCCACCATAGCGTATGTTCCCAGGCTCCCTGCTGCCAGGCGATTGCATCCACACATGATGCTGATGATGGCATCCACACATGATGCATCCACACATGATGTAACACTCTGGTGTTACAGGCTCAAGAAGAGCCAAGAGGTGCCTGGATATCAGATCTTAAACAGGACAGTCCATCTGCAGACTGTGCATCCAGCTACGTGGATCACACATTATTCAGAGCATATTTTCAAGAAATTATGCATTTAGAATGCACCATAAAAACATGTATCCATTTTAAAGCTGAGACTAGTTCTAAATAGGGTCGTGTGACTTGCGTGTGCTTCAGTGCATTTCACTGAGTGAGAACCCAAAGGGGGCTGAGTCAAGAGCAGTTGTGGGGAGGGGATTGTGGCTTCTGTTTTTAAAACAGGCCACAGTTTATTATTTTTAAAGGTGGGGAAATTTGCCGAAATAAGGCTATGATTTGAATTATTTGTGAATAATCGAGCTGTATTTTCCATAATTTATGGCCATATCAGCAAAGCAGGGAGGCATAGGAGGGCACCACCGTGGATGTGAAGAGAGGTGGTAAGAGGGATTAGAAGGAAGAGGCACCTCCACAGGAGATGAAGACTGGGCAAGTGGACAAGAGGGTATACCCGGAAGAGGCAGCACTCTGCACAGTCTGGTGCATCCACAGCTGGAGTACTGCATCCAGTTCTGAGCTCCACATTAATAACAAGACATAGCTAGGTTAGAATTGGTTCATCGCAAGATCACAAGAATGGTAGCTGGTTGGGAAAGATGACATACAAGGAGAGATTGAGGGCACTGGGTCTTTTCAGCGTGGAGAAGAGAGATCTGGGGGGATCTTTTAGTGACATGGGTTTGTGAGGGGATGTCATGTGGAGGAGGGCTGTGACTTGTTCTTCCCTGCACTGGAGGACAGGATGCATTCCAGTGAAGCAAAGTTCAAGGAACCAGGATTCAGGCTAGATGCCAGGAAATACTTCCAGAGCCCTAGGATATGGAATGGGCTTCCAAGGGAGGTGGTTGAGGCCCCATCAGTGAAGGTGATCAAGGAAAGAGGGGACAAACACATGTTCCAGCTTACATGAGCAGAGCTTGCTGGAGCCAGGGGTCAGACTAGGTGGCCTGGGAGACCCTTTCTGACTCACTTTGTGTCTATGTTTCTCTATTGTGTGCAAATTACTCTGCCTTTCAGAAATATGCAAATCACAGCCTGCTTGAGACTTGGAAGACCATGTGCTAGCTCAATCTGCATTGCAGTGAGTTAGTGCAGGACTCCCAGGGATCGAGCAGGGCCAATCTGCTGGATTTTGACTTCCCTAGCAGAGTCCTCCCACATCTCTAGCCCCCAGGACGATCACAAAATCCATGAAAAGAACACACAGCAAAGCACTTAAGGAAGAGAACAAACTCAGTCACAGATCAGATGGTCAATTAATCATCTACCGAGCATTTACTCATCAAAACATGTGCAAACAACCCAAGTACAAACAAATATCCTTATATGTCTATTCACAGTGCAAATAAACACAGCAAAACAAACACTTCCACATATACACTCACACACATCCACACAGAAAGACAACTGAAAAGAAGAGATGTTTAATCAGCAAGAGTGATTTCCACACAGTTCCTGTCCATTCTCTCTCCTGTTTCCTCATATATTGAAAGCACGGCTAGTGTGCCCTTTCCCATATTGGGCCTTTGTTTGTATCAATAGCCTCCTCCTCACAGACACCAGCTTTGACCCTCAGTCTTTTCAGTGCTTAACAGAGAGTCATCCACATTTAAATATTACGACAATTGGAATATCCACTTGCAGCTGGAGGATTTGCAAAGGGTGGTGTGGGGACTTGCAAAATGGAGCACCCAGCAAAAATTGCTCCTGCCCCCTCATATACCTGTGAAGACAGGTGCCTTTTTCCCACGAAGGAAACAGCCAGCCATTGGCATCAGGGACCCTGTAGGTGAAACAAAAAGGAATGACGCAACACCAGAATAGTTCACATGAGGAAATAATTGGACAACAATTCACTGCAGTTACTTCATTTGATGGAAACTAACATTTGCTGCCTGAAACTGTGACAGAAACTAATGCACAACATTTACTGTCATTTATTGGGAAATCCATAACCATAGTGTAATTCCTGTGAATCTTCGGGAAACAAGCAAGCAAATAATGAACAGCAAGAGAGTTACAACTGTTTGTTTTAACTGTACAAGGCTGCGTTTTTTACTGCTTCCAGGAAAAGGGGATACGCAGCCTTGCTTCAATCACCTGCATTACAGGTGTGCATGTGTTTACCTTGTTTAACACCATCTTGATACTTTTTGACAGATTTGGTGGTATATACGTGCTAATGATGGATAAATAAGGTTCAGGTCAAGTCTATTCAGGTAGGGATAGAAAGATTTTTCCTGTATCTTTGAGGGCTGATTCCAGGCATTTTAGACCAGCCATCTGTATTGTGGAGCATTCCAAATATTTGGACTTCAACTCCCATCAGCTCCTGACCAATCATCAGGAATGCTAGTAGTCGACGCCTGCAACAATGGGTGGGCACCACTGAGCTAGATGCATGAAGATGCATTTATTTGGTGTAAGGCAGCTTGTTATCGAGTGCAAGAATTCTAGAAACTTTTCCTAATTAGATTTTTTTCCTTCCAGATATATTTAATGACATCAGTGAGGAAACCCTGAGAAGAGCGTACGGGCTGTGGACCAGTGAGTGTAAAACTGCTTCTGTGAGGCAATGAAAATAACGGAAACCAACCAAACCAATATTTTCCTCTGCTGCTACGGCAAGCACTTGGCAAACCAAGAATCCATAAAACAAGGGATGTGCTTGTGGGAAACTATTTATGATTTGACAGCATTTGGATACCTCCCCATACACAAAATGGTGAACCATGTTCCTCAGGGTTCAGCATGAAACTGGAAGAAAGGCCACCAGCCACCATTTTACCAGCTTCTCTTCCTCTGAAATGACTCTTTGTATTATTTTGCTGGGACACTTGGGGAGATCGTGTGATTAAGTAAAATAGGGAGTCTTCCTAGGTGCCGTTAGCATGGGAGGCAACTGAGTAACCCGACTGCCCAGGCAGTTTCCTTTCTTCACATGCAACATGGCAGGAATGGCAGCATTCCAGGTTTCCAGCATGGTATCTGTGGGCACCATTTTGGAAACCTACTGAAGGTTCTCTTAGTGCCCACCAGGCCTCTCAACTCTATTTTATTTTTAAATGTTTTTAAAAATTAAAATGGGAGGCTGGAGTGGGCCATCTCTTTTGGATTTGGAAGAGCGGTTTGGTATTTTGAACCTGAGGCCCCTGCCTTGTATTTATGTTCGTGGCCAAGTTATTTTTCTTTTAGCCTTCCTTACCACTTTGCCTTCTGGGGAATGGGTGTTTTGTGATTGGTACATCTACCTGGGCTTCCATTTTTTGAAGGAGCGAACCCTCCCATATCAGCCTTTCTACAAGAGGGTCCATAACACTCTCTCAAAAACCCACATGGACTTACAAACCTCAGACATTTGAGGCCTCCAACTCCATTCCTTGGGGTGCTTCCAGGAACAGTGCTTACTAACAGTGCTTCTTTTAACATAAGTCCCACCTGCCTTGTTCAACACATTTTACCAGTGGGTGGATCTGGACAGCAGCATCTTCCACTAAGAACCTCCCATGTTTTCTTGCCTCCTTTCCCAGCTTTATTCTTCCCACAGAAAATCTGGAAAAGGGGGAAATAGCTGCATTATGCTTCCTAATCAGTAGCTCTAGAAGTCCTCTAGGAGTGTAACAAGCACCAGCCAAAGAACTAGTAACCTAAATAAGGCTCTTGGTTTATGATGTCAACTCCTAACTTAGTCGTTATAGTTTTTGTAGCACATCTCTTAGTATGTTGATCCAAACCTAGATTTCTCCAGTTTGCCAGTCAGTCAGGTATAATTCAGCCCAATGCTGAACTCTGACATCTGGCCGCTTGTCATTTTGAGATTCCAAGTTAGTATTAAGGTATATAGACAAATCTGCTTTTAGAGTGAGTAAATATTTCTAGTGCAAGGTTTTTTTTAACAATGTTATTCTGTAGAGTGATTGTGTAAAACGGTCAGCATGACATGCGCCAGCAGGCCTGTTTCATCGGGCTGCACATGCTCTTGAAAGAAGTTGAACCAAAGCAAACAGGGCAAACATGCTGAGCTGGCTAAATGGCATTGGTGATCTTAGCTACTCTTAACAAGCTGACATATTTGCTCCTAGAAATGGTGTGAAATATAGTAAGACAAGAAGTGTTGACTGTATACCTTTCGTTGCTTTCCTGAATGCTGCTGCTTGACATTATAATTGTCTTTTGTAGCTCTAATTAGTTCTCCAAAAAGTGTGTCGATGCTCTAAAGGAAATGAAACATCTGTTTCTAGTCCCACTAACTTTTTTGTCTGAAATGTTTCTGGTATGTGAAATGTTTTGATCTTTCTGGTCATATTATACCTTCCATTAAAATACAGAGCAGGAAGCCATTCTGAGACATCTGTAGGGGACGGGATAGAAAAGCTTTTAATAAATAAATGAATAAATAAATAAGTGTCATCTGCTGTTGGTTGTGCTCCTTGAGGCTGCAGCGTGAGGAGGTTTGTTCTGACCTGACCTGAGTGTCATCCTTCAGGTCTTGGACACAAAAGCTTGTACCTTCCTAGCCAGCATAGGAAGAATATTAGGTGGTCTTTTAGGGACTATCCAAAAGAATGACGACAACAGCAAAAGTTTACATACATATCATTCTAGACACGTTTGGAAGTTAAGATTCTGAGTTAAAACCTCCAAAAGCCTGAATGAAAATCCTTGACAGAAAGTTTTTGTATTTTTTCAAATACTATGCAGAGAAGTGGTCAATAAGTCAAGCACAGTTTTGCAGATTTTATAGTTATGCATAGCCTCAGCAAGGTTAACCCTTAAATTACCTGTACTTCCTGAGGGCTGAAAACCATTGTGCTTTTTGAAACCACCTAGGAGAAACATGGAGTCAGAACAAATGCCTTTAAGGTGCAGCTTTGGCTAGTCTGAGACACTTTTGGGGTTAAAAATTACCCCAAATGCAACAAATGTTGGATTTTGTTGACACAGAATGAAGGCAAATTGGGGGTACGCAATCTGTGGTCCTCTATCTGATTTGGCTTACAACCACAATCAGTCCTAGCAGGCATATCCCGTGGTGAGCTGATTCTGAAATATGAAAGACAAAACATCTGGAGGCCCATAACATCTGAGCTAGAGGAAGACAGAAGGTGAATATCTCCTGTTCTGCCATTCCACTGTAGAGTGCAGCACTGCATTTCATTTTGCTACAGATCTCCTAAATTTCTACAGCAGTTTTCCAGGAAGCTTCAAAGGAAAGATGGCAGTGGCTAAAATGACCTCTGTTGCCCTGTGCCCTTTGTCTGGCAAGAATGCCCACGAGCGGAATTTCACTCCCTGTATCCAGGTCAATGACAAGGCAGTGAAGATCACTCCTTCATCCTTCCAAATGGGATCTTTGCACGTTAATGCAGATGTGACTGCGTATCTACCCCATTGTGTGCCTGCTACCTCCAGGTTGAGCCCTTCCTGTAACTCTCATTACCATTCAAAGGCAGAAAATATTTAAAGTTTAAAGCCAGGAAGAAAATCGCCATCAAATCCCTAAGTGGGAAATGCTGGCATCCCTGCATAGATTAGGCAGTTCAGTGTTAAATGTTCATCTGCCGTCTCTCTTGAGCCGAGACTGCCGGTGATGCAAATTACATGCTACATTCAGACAAAAGTACTTACAAATTGGAGTATTAAATCATGATTCACATTAGAGCAACACGAATTTCCTTGGTCTTCATTGGATTAGAACTGATCATATGGAACTAATCTAATGTGCTGCGTAGATGTCACATTAGTTCTGCCTCTGTCAGCGACATTATGCAAAGCTGCAAAATTTAATAGAAATAACAAACCTGGAATGCAGGCCCAAGCTCACAAACACAAACCTACCTTTGTTAACCTCACACATCCCATTTACCCCTCCTGCCACACAGACGTGCATGCAGGTACCCCCCCCCCCCCCGTCTCTTCTTCCTCCTCACCTCACTTTTATCAAAGCCTGACTTTCCCTTGGGTTGTACATATTCAGAAAATTCAAAATCTGGCAGAATAATTCCACGGGAAGCCAATACAGAGCTTGGTAGTGTGTGTGTGTGTGTGTGTGTGTACTCCAAGTCATACAATCTGAATCCTCTATCACAGCTAGAACCATGCAGTCAAAAGATTAGCTGTTTAGCTCACTTGCTATTGAAATTCACACATTTCCACTGGGGAGTAGAGATGGTTGCTTTTTGACACTGCCGGGTTAGCTGCACTGTAAGCACAATGGACAGATTTTCTACGACATTCCCAACACTTTAACCCTGTCAGGGGTGCTGCCCCAGTATCCATACACTCCCAATCCCCTTCGTTTGGCCACTGGGCATGGCTCCTCATGGGTGGGTTCACCTCAGTCATAGTTTTTCTGTGTCTCTTCCCTTCTTCAGCACCGTGCCTCCCTCACCCATCGCCCCCGGGCCCATGATTTTCAGGCCTTTGCATACTCCAGCCTTCCCAACCTGGTGCTGCCCTGATGCATCAAGTGGCAACTCCCGTAATTGCCAGGACTGTGGAATTGAAATACTCTGCACTGTAACATGTTACTGCAGGTCCCATTTTTCATTTCCAAATCGTTGTATCAGATGTGGACAATGGAAAATGGCAGGCATGGAAGCGGGGCAGGAAATGGAGTATCATGAGAGAGGGCATGGCTGGCTGGGACCATGGGCAAGTGCAACATGTCATTGCAGGTTGTACTGGTTGTTTCATGGGCTCTTGTGTGGTCTCTTCTGTGTGTTTGCAGCTTGGCTTCTGGTTGTGATGTCTTTAAAGTATCTAGAAATCGTGGAATCGTGACATGATGGGCCTCAAAACCACAGCTGCTACCAAAATTGAAGTTCCAGTTCTAAAGAATCTATGTCAAATCAGGGCAATTATTTCTGAATGATTGAAATAATTCTTAGGTGAACGTGCAAGACGTTCAAGAAAGTAGGAATTGTGAATGGTTGTGATCTTCAGAACATATCTAAAGTGCTCAACTGCTCACGTACTTTTTGGTGACTATTTTTCTGCAAGCTTCTCTCTCTCTTTTTTAAAGTATTATTCCATCAAAGATGGCAATTTATTTCTATTAAAATTTGAACAGAATTCTAACAGTTATCACTGTTATCAACAAATACTGGTTTCCCCTAGGGTTGTATCATCCTGAAATTGTGAATGTCCAGACATCTGAATTTGCAAGGCTCTTGGAAAGTGGCAGATGATTTGTTCTGGTACAGAATGCCATTCTGAAAACCAAACAAACACTCCTTATCCATTTCTCTGACTTTTTCAAGCATGTAGAAATGGGAAGCGCCAAAACAGACCGTGGACCTCCTGGGTCCTAGTCTTTAGCATCTGTTTCACTGAACTGCACTGAAACACACATTTCTAGGTCTGCCTGATGTGGCCCTGCAATGTTAGGCCTAGCCCACGAGGTGGCATAAATGAACCTACATGGAAGAAAGAAAATGCACACTTGAAGCAAAGGAGGTCTTGGCAGACTTTTGGGTGCATTTCAAGAGCAGCACATTGTAGTCGCATGACGCAGCCTCATTTACGCAGTCTAGAGAACAGCCCCATAAAGAAATATGGGTAGAAATAGCCATTTGTG